GGCGTTAGTGGGTCACCAGTACCCAAAAGAATGGAGCCACGCTGTACTCCTGAGCGAGGCAGCCACCAGCCATGGGGGTAGAGATCTTCATCTGGTGCAGGGGCAGAATCCTGGGGGTCATTGTATATTAGAATGGCTTTTGCTCCATATTTCTGAGCATTAGTCACCTGAAATAAGGGAATAAATAAAGTGGAACACTTAAAAAATATCCTGCACATTGAAATCATCAATGAACAAAGGCCTATCCTCTCAAGGGAACAAGAAGTCCTGCAGATGGATGACATAGCTTACGAGCAAGCTCTCTAGGGCACTCCGGTAGCGGGGTGCTCTTTTCCCTGGTTTGCTTGTTTAAGGGGCTAAAATACCTTGTCTCCTCTGAAGACACGCCCATATCTGACAATGACAATCTTGCCTGAGCAGTTGACTCCTTTGTCAATCAAAATCTTGAAATCACTAGGTCTTCCATAATTAACATAAACTAAGTCACCCTGGAAATAAGAAGAAATTAAATACATCACACTGAGTCATTCGAGAGTTCACAAATTCACACTGTACGGCAATTGCAATTCCTTAGGGCTACAGTGTATGTTGCAATTGCAATTCCCGTGGCCTGTACTGTGATAGCAATTTCCATGGCCTGTACTGTGATAGCAATTTCCATAGCCTGTACTGTGATTGCAATTTCTAGCCTACGGAGTATAAGTTTTAATTGCAATTCCCATGGCCTGTACTGTACATGTACAAAATGTATGAACTTAAGGCACATTACTGTTCAACTACAATAATCTTGAACAAGGAAAATCTTTCTTAAATGCTATTTGTACTGTCTAGTTATACATGTATACAGCATTGAGATAGCCAATCAGCCAAGAGATAACTTTAATAAATAATTAAACTGAGCACCTAAAGGACAAAATTATTTGCTTTATTATACCCATTGACAGACTTTTAAATAGTTATTATGTGTAACACTTTCATAAACATTTATATGGCATGATAATTTACAATACAAGTTTTACACAACTGCAGGTGTCCAGACTACCCTGGTGGAGGTACCCTCTATGATGGCTTATACAGGGAAACTCCACCCAATAAGGGAACCTTTTTTAGGCTTCAGGTAAATGAAAGGGTAGGCATTTCTCTTGATGAAGTACATGCAGTGTATGTGAAAGGGTAGGGAAATCTGTTGTTTTGGTTAGAAATAAGGCCCAAAAGAGCTAACAGATGCATTTCATGGCTGTGAAAAAGTTGAGAAAATGTTCTGATTTTGTGTGTATGTATTTAAAATGTAATTTAAAGACAGTGAATGTAGAGCAGTTAAAAGGAATTGAAAGTTCTAAACTAGGTATTTGGAAGAAGTACCCTTATTGTCAATAGCAGATATACAAAAAGGGGTACATTGTACCTGTATAAGGAGTTAGACGTTGGGGTGGAGCCTCCCTGTATAAATCAGGGTATGTGTTTTAGGATTTTTTTTTGTACTAAACAGGGTCAGGGTTTCAAACCCTCAGCGGCTCACCTATACCCAAATATTGTTCAAGTACCCCCTCCCCCGGGGGTCTACCCCATTTTTTTTCAGTAACTTTTCTAGACGCTGACTAACAAGGGCAACAAGATATAAAACACTGACAAATATTAGGGGTTCTACTGTAATAGTGCCTAAAGGTTGCAGCTGTCTCTTAGCTAGAAGATTAAAATTTATTATTATTATTATTATTATTATTATTACTATTATTATTATTCACCTTTGCCTTCCCGGTGGGGGAATATGCACTAAAAGGAGGTAATGCATCTGGTGAATTTTCTGACAGTTCCACAACCTCCTCATTTTTTGCTGTCAAAAATTTAACTGTTCCATTTGCATCAAGAAGGGATGCTCCATTTACTTTTCCTTTCTCAGGGAAAGAAAGTAAAACATTGTATTTTACAAATTTTACATCAAATCCATAGCTTGTCCATTGATGTTTAATGTTTTCTGCTAGTTCTTCATTTCTACTAGAGCTTGCGTGATGAGGCTTGAGGGTCAAGTTTCTGAAAAAAACAAATAAACAAATTTTATTTATTTGTTTTATATGAATAAATTGATAATAATAATAAAACCACATGTCCACCAACACATGTACCCAAAAGTTAACTAGTACACATATATGTGTTTCAGGTCAAAATTTTTTAACCAAGGTTGATTCTCTATTTCCTTTGTACTCCCAGCCCTAATTCATCGGTCTGGGCCTAGGGTCTCTGCTGACATCTAGCAAGACGGCAAGCCCCCTGGTTTTTTTCCAGCTACACTGGCTTGAACAGGGGGCTCGCCTGTGTTCAAGAGAAAACTTAGTCGGCACCTTTTAGAAAAATCACACAGATATATATATATATATATATTTAGTAAAATCCAATGCTGCATTCTGATTGGTTGAGCTACTACTAGGCTATATGTTATAGCCCACTAGCAGCGGAAAGTGCCAGCTTTTTGGCAGCAAAAAAGGATTAAAGTCTAGCTTTAAGTAGCTAAAATTTTTTTATTCTTGCTAATTATTTTTGACCAACTGTTGGATTTTACTAAACAATAATTGTTTTATCATGGCCTCTGAGTCATGGCCTCATGGCCTCTGAGTCAATAGCCCATTCGGCCTTCAGCCTCATGGGCTATTGAATCAAAGCCCATTAGGGCTGGAGGAATAATAATTATTCCTATGAAATATGTTCTACCCTGAATAGAAGTATATTTAACATTGTTAAATATGGGTACAACGTATTTCATAGAGCTCTCAATTCATTTAATTGAAGAGCATTGACTGTTGATAATCACAGGAGACATACAAACTGCCGGTTAATGCAATATCAGACAAATAAATATGTATTCGCTTTTTACAGACAGAGAATTTAGATTTACATGTATTTAGTTCAAATCTAGTGCTGCAAAATAATTCATGCTGCTACATGTATGTATTGCACTGCCTCAGAAAATATCAATTTGCCAACCACTAAATTAACAGTTATTTCCTGTACTTTCAACCTTAAAACAACCACTAAGTACTAAACTAATAAAATTAATGATCCATGAAGTTTTGCCCCTGCGTGTTGTTGTGAACATGCTGACAAAGCAAGTAAAGAAGTATGTGATGTGTTTCCTTACTTCATATATATCTTTTTATTTCATTATTATTATTACTATTTTTTTGTTTTTTTAGCAGTTGAAAGAAACTTTTGAATTTTAGAGGTTGACAGTTTTTTTTTTATTGAAATGAAATGTTTTTAATTCGAAAAAATTTTTCTTAGTTAAATTAACTTTTTTTAAGCTAAATTAAGTGCTTTTTAAATCGACAGGAATTGTAAATAGTGTTTTTGAATGAATAGTTTTTTCTTTTTGTAAGCGAATTAATTGTAAATAGGATTTTAATAGTTAGCATTGTTGTCAATAAAATTTTTTCATTATTATTATTATAAAAAAAAAGTAAAGAAGTATTAAAAGAATAATTTACTAGGCTGAAGGGGAAACTAGAAACAGCTCCCCCCCCCAATTTCTTTAAAAAACAGCTAAAACCCCTTAATAGAAAGATGAATAAGCCCAGGGCTCATAAGCAGCACTTTACAGTACTTGCCTAAATGCACTCCTGAAAAGAAACTGTGAGCAGTCTACCCTAGAAAGGTCCTACTCTTGAGATGCCCTACCCCACCCCTCTCCTCATCTTTTCTTCCCTTTCCCAGCTCTACCCGTGCCAAACTTTTTTTGACTAGCCTCCGTAGCAAGCGTTTTGATGTGGTTTCGGAGCAAAGAAAGACTGAGGAACAAGATTACGCAGGCTAAACACTTCCGTAAGGGATGAAGGGTATGCTTAATGTAATATGTACATGTACATGTATTTCCTGGATGTACTCTACTAAAATTAATACAGACCATTAAAATTAAGCCAGGGTTCCATTACTTTTGATAATAATTATCACAACTTCCTCCAAATCTAATAAGAGATCAATAGTAGCATATTTGTTGCTGTCGTTGCTTTTTTATTCTCATGATATATGCTTCAAATGTAAAAGTTATTGTAGGTCTGGGACTTGCATAATCAATTTTAGGCTATTGCATATCTACACCCTGTCGCCCCCCCCCCACCCCCTTGCCCCCCACCCAGATAAGGACCAATGGAATTCTTCAGGGGTACATGTACAGCTTTAAGTTATGAATTGAGGATTTCTTTAGGGTAGAGTAAAATAATATGGAATTCTTTGAGGGTGAGGCTCTAATTTTCACAAAAATTTTCCTAGGGGAACCCATATTTCATGGAAGTCTTCAGGAGTGAATATTTTGTTTAATCTTCAGGGAGTAGAAAATAGAAGTAAGTCCGCAACCGAAAAGGGAGGGGGGGGGGGGGGGGGCAGGGGGGGAGTATATTAGGAAGATGCCTGCGCAGTAATGCAGGAGAACAAGGATCTTAGATAAATAAAAAATATAGGATTTTCTTGAGGGTGGGGCTTTAATTTATACAAAAATTTTTCTGGGGGAACCCAATTTTTAGGGAAACTTTAAGGAGAGAAATTTTTTTTTAAATTTACGGGAGGAAAAAAAAAAAGGAAAGCCGCAACCGAAAAGGGGGGGGGGGGGGGGGGGGCGGTGCTGTTGATAATATTAAAATTAATGCAATAGCCCATTCTCCGATATCAGTCGGATGATAGAAAATAGCGAGTCGGTTTTCGGTATTAAAATGCTGCAAAAAAATAAAAGAGAAACGCCCCCAAGCGAAGCCAGCCGATCATGATAGCCTGCATAATCACGAAACAGCTGATCAAGCAAGCGATAAGAAATCACAAGGAATGAGAAACGATCACTCAATCTGACCTGACGAACTGCATCAAACGATTAACAACAGGGTGATTATTTTACTGCTAAATGTCTATTCAAGACAGCAAGAAAAAGCAAGAAGCTATAAACCAACCTCAAATTGAGTTCAATGTTCTCCGCGGACATATCCGCCAAGATGTCCTGGAGTCGAACGCTGAGATGCGGCGAGGACGTCGGTCGTGAGGCTTCGCCATTTGTTTCACACTTCGATGACTTTGATACAGCTCTTCGCACCAAATAGCCGCCAATAAATGCAGCAGCTATAAGAGCAACCACAAGTATGATTCCAGCGATGCGTACGCTGTTACATCGGTTTGAGGGCTTGCTGTTCTTCAAGATGATGGTAGGCTGAGCGAAGCTCTCCTCTTCGGGATGTAGCTCCATTTTAGTGTCAAACAAGTGCGATGTGTCTGGTTTATCCATCGGGATCAAGCTTAAGATGCAATTTCAAAGAAATTTAAATAAATCCTGGGAATTTGCAGCAAGAGCGCTGGCTGCATGCCTCCAAAAGGACAAATGTGTGACAAAAATGGGTGACCACGCCTTCAAAACAGATGTCCCAGTTCTCGCGGTGTAAGAGACATGTAATCCCCCTTTTCTTGAAAACCATTTAGCAAATGCTCGCATGCAACTTATTTTTTTTTTACTTGTTGAAGCTCAAGAGGCACAAGCAGTTTAAATAATTATATAAACTGACTTAGCATTAGTAGTTCTTTTACTTTACTTGTTTTGAGGAAAATTGGAAAGACGTCGCTCACAGCGTTTTACAAAAAGACTTCCTACAGCATCCCAATTTATTGCAGATTTCAATAGAATACAATAATATGGTATCAATACAGTATAATGAAAGATTATTTGTATTTCGAATTCGAGATTTATTATTGCTTTAAGGTAAATTACTAGCTGAGGCAGAACACACCGACAAACCAGTGTAGATGGTATTTGCAGTTAAAAATATGCTTCTACTGGAAGTGGTTGTCTTATCGCAGGACGTGAAGTTTATCGCAAATTATTTCTTTTTTAATACATCTCAGATTAACCTTTTTACTAACAAATCCCAATTTCGAATTATTTTGCTTTGCGTCATCTTTCCGTTTGCATACATTTGAATTAAATCCCATAGGAAAGATTAACGAAACACATTTGGCTCGAGTGCAATATAATATTTTACAATTTAACTGTGATCAATTGTTATTTTAATTTTCTTCCAATTTGCAAACTTGTACTTGTTTACTGAGGTATATATGATTTTTTAATAAAAGTGTACAAAAAGTAATAGTAAATATCAAGCGACAAAAAAGTTTCACTAACTTTTAAATGAAAAGAGAAAATTTAAATTTATATTTCGCGATATTGCAATACATTTCGTCTTTCCGTGGTTTCAATGGAGTCAAGAGCTCACCTAATGCTTGTGACAATTTCCGGATTTTAAAATGAAAAAAGAAATTGTTCAGACTGACTTACTTTACATAGTTAATTTTGCTGTTGTCATGTCCGTTTTTATGACGTCTCTTCCTTGCTTCTTTCATTAACATGACCCGATATATGACCGTTTATGCCCTGGGAAAAAAATAAAATTTTTATGACGGGTAAAAAGTCGATCACCTACAAATTTTACAAGGCGCCCACGCTACGCTGGAGCCTGGAAGCTACCAAATGCGCGCGACTTTTGATCTCGATTCCGTGAGATTTCCTTAGCGAAGGTTGCAGCTAACAGTGCAGGTAGGAGTGATACTCTAAATGTTTCGTGTATTTTCGAATTTCTTTGCCGTTCTAACGTTATTTACATTCAGTATTCCTTTCACTGTATTTAAGCTTCAATTTCGGAAGCAAATGGCATGATCAAAATGCGACTTTCTCCCGAAATGTCGGTAACTTTATTTTGAAATCTCCATTGAGCTGTCGTACGCATGTAATAAGCTTATATGGGACAGGTCAACGTTGTCATTCTCTGTTTCTCTAAGATTGTAAGACTTCTCTTTTGCTAGAAGTGATGTTCGTAATCAAATGGGAGTTATTTCGTTGGGCGTTGTCTGGCTTTTGCAAACTCTTCCTCTCTCACAGAAAAAAACCCTAGCAGGCGTTTCGGTTATTCAATCCCGCTCTAATTTTTTACCCAACTCAACCTTCAAACTTACCCCATATCTTTGAGTCTAAATCAATTTTAGCCGGTAGTAAGGTCTTTTTCAGTGATATTAGGCCGGCAGCCAGCTACATCCCTGCTCTTAAGCCGGATATACGGCCTGTACAAATGAACATAATTTTTGTGTAACAATTTTTTTTATTTATAAGCCTTAATTTTCTCTGCTAGAAAAGGCTTCTTTTCCGGGAAGGTATATAACTATTTTTTCAACAAAAACGACAAGAATGTTTATAAAAGAAAGGTTGATTTTTCTTTAGCTATAATATTTCCAAAGGACGCCAATGATTTTTCCCTGAAGCTCTCCAAATTCACAATCTCCACCAGTACTTTCATTAAGGTGTCACCCATTTTATGAATTTGAGGAATTTTGTTCATATGGTATCAGCCACTCCACTAGCCTGAGAAAACAGTCAACATGCATTTTGCAATGCCACCACTGGTTTCCCCGCAAACTGACGTCCGAGGAATGAGTGCAGAATCTCCTACCCAGATCTGTGTAGAAATTCCAATATTGGTTAGAAATTTGCTTCAACCAATCAGCAGCACTACCCAGATCTGGGTAGGGTATGTCATCAGTATGGAATTTCTGGGCTCATTTCTGAGCCATCCTTTTGTGGGGAAACCAGTGGTAGTGCCTCAAAATGTCAACTGTTTTTGTAGACTACCGCTCTTCTGATAAGGTGTCAAAATTAATAATAACTCATCTAAATGTCTGTGTAGTATTACGATGATGTTAATTAAGCTGTAGTGCTGTTCACTTTGAACAGATTAAGATAGAAATAAACGAAATTAATGGGATGCAAGATGTCCAAAAAGATGGGCAGAAAAGGCAGAACCACCAAACACAAGCAGACTATTGAAGAAATAGAGGCCACATCTGCACCTCTTCAACTTGGAGATTTTCCAAACATGAAACGTCCTCAGCTTCAAAAGTTATGCAAACAGTTAGGACTCAAGGCCACAGGAAAGGTAAGAAAACATAATATTATTGTCCTCAGGATAAAATGGAGTGCTCGTAATCTACAGTCACTCCTTTGCTTAAATGAATTTGTAACTACAATCCTGGTTAAAATGTTTTCGACACTAATTGTCTTTCCTGCAAAGGAATTGCAGTTCATGTTAATCCTCCCCCCCTCCTGGACTGTTGGTTGTTAGCAGTCAAAAACCTTTTACACATCATCAGAGTTGTCACTAAGATTTCAAGTTGCTGGGTAATTGCAACAAGTAGGCAAGGAAAAAAATCAGCTAGAGATTTCTTGGGGTTCTATTTTTGCTATGGGCCACTTTCATAGTAGCTGGGGGAAATCCCAGCCCCTGACTCTTATTGTCAGCCCTGCATCATCCACACGATTATGGACCTCAACTTTGATCAGGGAGGGGGTGGGGGCAGAGAAACCTTGATATGAGCGTGTACTGCTGGTAACATTCGTACCAGCAAATTGCTAACAAAAACACGTAAAGATCGAAGGCAAGTGTCCAAACCTTTTGGCCAAGATTGTAATGAATAGACAAGAATTTATTGTCAGTTCAATGAATCTTTAATACAAAAAGTCATGTCTCTGTCTTGTGAGGGCTAGTAACCAGAAAATGGCTTGACTAGCTTTGCAATGTAGTCTGCAAAATGGTTTTAATGTGGTAAAGCTGCATGAAATATTATCCCAATGTATTGCTTAAGTTATTGATTATTTTACATGTTTTCTGTCTTGAAGAATGTTGAGCTTATTGAAAGGCTTCAAGAGTATCAGAAAGAAGTTACGGTCTCTAGCAACAATAACGAAGTTTTAGGACAAGTTCCTTCATCCACAACCTCATCTGCAAAGGAAAAGAAAAAAGAAAAGCAGTGTCTCATAACTGACACCTCTGAAACAGTTGAAAGGCAATTCCCAATAGATAATCTTTCTAAGAACCAGGTTCAGACATCAGCTCCACCATCATCTCCAACATCTTCTACAGAAGAAGTAGAAAATGGAAAAGAGTGTCTTGACAATGTTACCTTTGAAATAGTCGATAGTAAAATTCCTACAGATGAACATGTTCATATCGGGAAGAGTGACTACTCTGCTTCAGAGGGAGCTGATGAAGAAGTGTGCTCAAACCCAATGGATAATAATAATTGTGACTTCCCAGACAGTACGTCAACAGATCACAAGGAAGAACAAAAGACTGTGACAGTCTCCAAAGCTGACTCACATTCAGAAACAGTTCTCAGGGAATTGAACTGCAGAGTAACATTAACAGGTCTGTAACATTGTATTATTATGAGGCATGTAACAGGCCACTATACATGTGGTCATGTGTCTTAACACTTGATAAGTTTGATTCATTGACCTGGATCAGGATCCCTTTTGCTTACAACAAGACTGCTTCTGTTAGATGTGGCTAAATGTAATTTAGGCTAAGTTAAAAGTGAGACAACGCTGGCCAGCGGTCTCCTTCTCTAATCGTATGTAGGGCAGTCTTGGGGTTTAGCTGGGCCTTGGTGATTTTACAATGCTTTCGCAGGAGTTAATTGTTTTGCTCTCATTGCTTTTGCATGCAGTGGTTTAGTTGTTTTTTGCCCCAACCCTCCCTCCTCTCTGGACGCTGTTTGGTAAGTATCTGTGCCTCTCTCCACTGAGGTTCTCAGTATGACGGTGCCTAGCTGATGGGTGCCGCTCTCAGGGTTTTCATGGTTACCCTCTAAGATCGCTTGCGGCCCCCTTCCGCTTCTACAGGCACCCTCCCCATACCCATCTATTGTTGACAGGTTTAACCTCCATTGGAGGAGGCAATGTGACCTAGCGGTTAGAGCGCAGGACTTGCAATTTGGAGGCCCCGAGTTCAAGTCCCGCCCTGACTGCTGTATGATTTGTTTACGGTAGTCCAGCTACCTACTGTACAGTGAACATGTATAGTATTAAACCACTAGGAAAGTTGACACAGGAGGGAGAAAACACTAGGGGAGGTGACGATGTCTTTCCCAATTCTCTGACTGCTCAAGTTTTCAAGCAGGCTTAATTTAGCAACATTTATCTGAGACAACAGGACAGTGATAGTGCTACCCATACCTTTAATAGTGGATTAACTTCAGGTTTGCGTAACATTAAGAGGCCTGCAATCAAACCCCCACAAGACCACAAGACTTCAGGGTCTTTTGAAGACAGTGAAAGATCTTGAGGGAGGAGTGTTTAAAAGGTCTTGACAGTCTTATTCAGATGATTCCATAACCGGGGCAACTGAAAATCATTAGCCTTAAAGTCAAGAATCCTTCATGCTTTGATTGGTTTAGTGGTGAGGGCCATGTAAAAAATGCGTCTCGACACTAAGAGCCTGTTTACATGGAGGTAGGGGAGCCGAGGTACAGGTAGGTGAGGTAACCCACTTAGGTAGGGTAACCAGCTGCCTGTCCATATTATCTCTCATTTTAATTTGTTCATGTTTACATGATAGGTGGAGTGTTACCTTACCTACCTGAGCTCCCCCACCTCCATGTAAACAGGCCCTAAGTACAATATGCACAGGGCTGTGGATTTGATCTCCTGGCCACTATGAACATGACCCCTGGCTACACTGTACTTGCACTGGAAACAAAAAAGAAAATAAACCCAAAAGAACATCCTAGCTGTTTAATTCCCTGCATAATAATTAATAGTGGAGCTCCACACACGCGTGAAGCGTGAGTGAGCGGAGCCCCATACAGTTACCTAAGAATATTTGGTAATCTATCTATTCAAAACATTTTGGTAATCACATGACTTTATGTCCGTCTCTCAGCACCACAGGAAAACCTATGTGAAATGTTAAACTTTCTAGCTAGTGTGGGAGCATATAACTTGTGTTTAACTTGATAATAGACGTCCCTATCATAGTCAAATGACAGTTGTCTAAACAAGGTATCTACTGACCAGAGTCACATGACTGTATCGTAGGCTCAGGTGCCAACTTATCAAAGTCATGTGTTTTCTTGAAGTTTTCTGCTGACCAGTTGTTAGCTTTTAATTGATTGCAGGCTCAAGTTTTTGTTTTTCAGTCATATGGTTCTCCCCAAAAGTTAAGAATAGATTTGGGATTTCTTTGCAATGGTTTAAGTCCATTGTCTGAAGTAAATTTCAAATGCATAAAATGGGAGCTTTGCTTTTAGCTCTGGCTAAATTTATATAATTATTATACTATGTACATGCACCTAACTGAGTGGCAACTTAAAAAGTTAGGGTGCATTTCATTTGTCAGAACTGGCCAGCCAGACCTTGGCCAGACCAATCATTATGACAATGAAATAGGTTTTTTTGAAGAGTTTTAACACTAGCTGGAAAACCATCTCCCTGTGCATGCTATTTAGGTTTTGACTGATCTGGCTGGATAGCTTTGATTAAAAGTGAAATTCTCATTATGACAGGAATGGTCTGGCCAGTCAGTTGTGGCAAATGGAAAGCACTGTTAGTCAGCGACAGCTAGCCCTGATTCAAGTTCTCTTTGTAGTGACATGTAAATTATAAATCAGCCAAATATTTTCATTTGAGAATGAATCATTAACTATTATTATATTTAATTTTAATTGTTCATGTAGATGCAAAACCTAATCACAACAAAGCAAAGATCAATGCCTGCACAAGGTGGTGTGTTGTGGAGGGCCTTTTAAAACAAGACATGAAGACTCAGTGGAGGAAGATTCATCTGTTAGGGGGAAAGCCTATGATTTCAAACAGTTTTGGTAAAAGAGTTCCTTTTGTGTTGGAACCCTCTGGTCTGAATACTCCAGATGATTATGATGATAACTACATCTGTGGTACTTGCGTCAGGGATAATGAAACAGCTTTGAGATGGAAGGGCAGTTCACGGATGGTCCACTCCACGGTCACTCAGCGGGAAGCTATAAACCAAGGTAAGGAACCATTATGTTCAATGAGCTGGTTAACATGCTTTGCTTCCTTTTTATGTGAATTTAGTTCTTGACTTTACAATGCAATGTACTTTATTTTGCAACTGAAAAAACATGGGTTACATGTTGTGGACTGTGTAGATTTCTTTTCCCTCAGTACAGTTTGTATTTACATTGCAGTGTTCTCCTTATGAGGTGGTTAAAACTGGTTAATTTTACTGTCTGAAGCAACACTTCTTACAGCCTTCAACCACTTGAAAGTTTGCTAAAATTGAATTAGTTGTTTTAAAAAATACGGAAGTTGTGATTGGATCTGATTCTCACAAGAAAATATAAAAAGAGTCTGGAAAATTAAAAATTAAAGTTTTATGGGCCATGCATTTTGGGAAAAGAACATTTTTCAAGACAATGGTAAATTTATTGGAATCAAACTTTTAAATGTTTGCCTAAATACTACAATCATGTTTGATTCACACAAAATAAGTCTCGAAATGAGGGAATGACATCCCAGAGAACTTACATGTAGGTCCTAAATTTCCCAGCGAGGCGGGTCCATGTCCCTCGCTTTACTTCTCCCTCCCCCAGGAGAGTGCTCCATCCTCTGGCGCATATTTTTTGCTTAACCCGGGCCAGGAGTGGTTTCTTATCTACTGAGCTAAATTTAGGGAGAACACTGCGTTGTAAGAAACTTTGGGTCCTTAAGTTTCCATTTGTTCCCACTCTGCTGTTCAAGTCTCCAGTGAATGTGATTGCTGTTGATGTCTATTATATTTAATCATTCATAACTTTTATTATTTTTCCAGGGTACACAAAATTTATCAGATAGTAAAGTTTATGTAACGTTGTGGAGTCGTTAATATAATCTTTTTGTTGCAAAACAAAAATATCATCCAGCAAAAGTTTGAAGCAAAACAATCTAAAATAACAAATTATCATCATGTTCAAAATTACAGGGCATCCTCTTAGTACATACGTGATCAAGAAACCTAATTACACGTAAATACTGTAGTTAACACTGATCTTTGAGGCCTTTGACTAACAAAATAGTTTAAAAAATGCTTGTATGGTGAGACCTACACTGTAGGAACTCTTTTCTTGCAGAATCAGAGGCAAGTGTGACATGCAGCACACCAACATCACCTAACCATAGTATTCTGACCAGCTTCTCAAGGGTGGGTTCCGTAAAGCGTAAGAGAAGTGACAATTCAAACACCTCCTTTGCCAACTCATCAGCTGATTCAGATCAGATGGACAGAAAGAGAAGGAAAGAAAACACTATTAGATCTGGTAGCAACACTCCCGCTAGCCCTCAAGTTCGTAGAGCAAGGGGTGAAGAACTCTTACCAAGGTAAAGAAGAGTTACATGTAAGGTCAGCCTTTGAACAACCACCTAGCCTGCACAGTGCAAAGGCAAGGTATTGACCAGAAATGATAAAATGATACAGGGTATAATAATACATTGTACATCAACAGTCATTACCCTTGTGAACGGTGAGGAACAGTTTTAAATTAATTTCTGTTTTCCCAATTCAGAAATCTTCACAAACCTTGGCGCCCCAGGAAGCTAACAAAGACAGCCTCACAGACTCAAGTGAAGGAGGACACAGATTTTGCTAAAAGAGTTGAGGAAATTATCAAAAACACACAGCCAGGCTCTGAGGAGGAAATGCACATGATCATGAGTTCTAAATCCAACAGGATTCAGCGTTCACCCACAAAAAAATGACACAGCAACATGCAGTTAACTTTTTTTTTTGCAGTGGAATAATAATTTGTTAATTATTAAGGACATTTAGATTGTTTATTTTGGAGATGATGAGCCAGCAGCTTTCTTTTTCATTTACGCTGTAATAATTTGAACTCGCTGCTTTGAGAAGAGCGAAGTCAAGTCTGTAGTGAATGTTCCATTGTTATCATGTCCAGGAAACAGGAAAAGCCTTATAATCAAAGTACTATTAACATTTCATTTCCATTTAACTTCACTCATGTACATAATTAAACTCTGTTTTGTAAGAGCAAATTAATTATTCTGGACATCAATGTCCATTAATTAAAAGTAACATTAAATAATGTATTGATTATATAATTAATTATTATAACAGCATAATTATCATACTTCAAATGTATTGTTTTGAGTTACTAAGCAATTTTGGAGACTGAATTTGGAGTAGTTCTTCGAGACTACAGCTTTATTTGCTAGAATGAAAATCAAGTACAATGTGAAATAGTACAGCTTGACAGAAATGACAGTATTGTCAAAGATTAAAGGCCAAATTTACATTGACTACTGCACTTGAATAATTACTGCAGTATACATGTAATAATAATACTTTTGTGAAATTATAAATTATATGAGCATTGTGTGGAACTATTGTTGTTTTATTTATAAACTGTTAAGTTTAAATTTAAAAATAAGGATCTATTATTGTCTTAATTAGTACAGTGCACAAGAGTGTGTTCTAACATTATTTAGAGGAGTTTAGTAGAAGCCCTTATTTATGTAAATGTAAGGTACGGTCATTGAGTTATTAATACCCCATGATGTAAGATCCCAAAAGTCCAAATCTTTTGAGAAAGTTAAAAGGCTGAGGAGGTCACTATGGACTTTGACTCTTTGTCAAAAGAAAGAATGGTAAGTGATTGTCATGATGGCAAAGTTAACAATGGCGGGATGAACTGAGCAAACCTAAGCCTGATTGTCTTCAATTTTGTCTTGAAACACAGGATGTTGTTACAGATCTCCAAAGTACATTATTACATTGACCATGTTTACAGCTTGGGCACATTTCCTGGAAAGGGTTGGTATTGGAGCCAGCTGTTAGCTTTTGGTTATAATTATTCATGAGGTAATTAATTTATAGTAAATTGAAAGCTGCCATTCATTGGCTGCTATTTTGTCAAGGAGGCAAACTGTATAAATTACAATCAATAGCAATATTCATTCATTATTTTGCATATAAAAATTAAATGAAAAAGTAAAGAATAACACACTTGTAATTTATCATAATTATATCAATGATATCTGATGAATTTTTATTTATTTTTTTTCCTTTGAAAATTATCCTAAATTTAGGTAACAACCAATTTACTACTAACTTGCAATATTTATAGTTGAAGATATTTTATATTTTAAAAATGCTGGGTGTTCGATTGCGACTGCTATACAATAACTATATTATAAGACTCATGATCACACTAATAAAGAAAAATAGTTTTATTCTGTGTTTCTCTTAAATGATGTAATTTCATAGAGGTTCAACTTGTAAAAAAGTAAACTCTGACTTAGAATTACATGTACTATTTTTTCTTATCAAAAGAAAAAAAGAATAATATTATAACAAACACTATATGATAGTCTATTGTTTGTGATTTACAAAATGCATATATTCGTGGAATATTACTGAACTGTGACTTAAAGAGTTTACATAAATGTAAAATGTTTACAGTGCGTAATCTAGTTGGTACTTGCTATTACTAGCACAGATCTCCTTTTCTTACTTATTGTATCATTTTATGTACTTTCTTTTACCCAAATAATTTATATTAAGTACTCTATCTAAACTCTTGTGTTGATATTTCTTTCTTTCAGGTAGACTACATGTAGAGGACAATGTCTTAGCCAGGTGGGTATCCTGGTGTCCACAGGGAACAGGACACCCTGTTTTAAGAGAAAAAGTATTCATTTTTTTTACATCTAATTGGCATGGAAGTGGAGACAAAAGTGGAATTATTTTCTTTTTGCATTAATTTAAAAATCTTTCACTTATTGGGTTTCAGTTTCTCAAATTTGATGGAGGAAGGACTTGCCCCTGGACCCCTGTAGAGGGTGGGGCCTTCTCTAGTATAGAGAGCTTTAGATTTGAGGACAAGAACGAGTACAAGTACGAGATTTGAAAAAAAAAGACACCCCAGAAAGCTTCATTTTATTATTTTTCACCAAAAAAGTTAGTATGGTTATTTAAACTGAAGGGAAGGTTAAGCCCTCTTTTAATCACAAAATGATAAAACCTCTTACATTAGTTTGATAACTTGTTCCTGCCACTATGACATTCTCACCAAAATGATGCTGGCTTTTGCCCACGTAATACTTAGTATTGAGAAAATCTTGTACTTGTAGTCGTCTTCATCCTTGAATCTAAAGCTCTCTAATAACTCTTAGACACGCACTTTTATTATACAGTATTTCCTGGCTAAAACCTTGCGATACATAGTCCATCTGTTTTAAACATTTTCATTTACATAATTTGTAGGAAATTACATTACATCATTTGGAACAGACTTTGCTCCTGGCCGGGCTGAACTTGAGTTGGGTCCAAAGCATTGCCATTATCATCAAATCCAAGGATCCTCTGCTTGTCTTTTAGGTAGGACTTGAAGTAAAAATACACACTCCCTACCTCTCTTGGCACCTTGTAGAACAACACTTCTGGGTGCTCTCCCTTGACTTCTTCCAGGGTGTTATAACTGCTTGGAGGGCGGGATAACTCCTGTTTCAAGTTTAAGTAAAAACCAGTAATTGTTATCAAGTTATCATAAAGAAATGTACAATTAAGTACTTTTAATTTAGTTTGCAGGCCACTAACATAATGCAACTGCCCATTATCACTGCTGTAGATGCATGTCCTTTGTACAGATTAAGACCACCTCATTTTAACAGTCTAAGAAATCTTACATGTAAGCTTAACTTCCCGGGAGGAGTATTGCCTTAATCAGTAGGATTCATTGAAAAACAGGTAAAAAAAAAACTAAACAAAACAAAGTGATATAAACAAAATAATAAAAAAAACAAGGACAGTTGAGAACAGAGAACACTGCTTCACCAGCTTCAAACCTTTTTTGGGGTAAAATTTCAAGGGGTGGAAGAAATTCCCACATAAAAAAAATACTATTAACCACTGATTTTCAGTGCAGATCCTAGACCTTATAAATTTATATCAATGCAGAACCAATAGGAATAAAAAATTTGGTTGTTGTATGAATATATACAAGAATTAAACTGAGTCATTTCAAGTGCAGGTTAAATCTGACACTTTTATTACACTTGGTCACTGGAATACTGATTGAAGTAATGTGACGTACCTTGGCAATGACATTATCTGCATCCTTATTTATGGCTACAACTTTCTCATCGTGTTTGTTTTCCAGCATAACAACTTGATGAGGAGCACCTGTTTCATCAAATTCCATGACTGTATGGGTCTTGAAATAAGCTGTTTTATACAAAGAAGAGTGTGTACTTGTTAAGTTATTGCTATAGACCTTTTCACGGTTTTTTCAACTTACAAAACTAGGGGTACAATGTACCTTTCACCAAGTGCCAACGAGGCAAGTTCGTTTATCTTTTGTGGAATGTGCCTAATATCCAGATCTTCACAATTTGTTACATAATTTTACAATGGATTTTGCAATAGAAAAGGATGGCACTTTATTTTAGAAAAAAAACTTGGGTACATTCTAGGCTTTCACTTCTATTAAAAAATAACAACATTGCTTGAAGCTTTGTTGTCTTCGTTGGTAAATTGGTGTAAGTTAGCACTTACATTTTATGGAAATTTAAAACTATAAATATTAGAAAGTAAAATATAGTTCAAGTGAGGCCTTTGACTGCTAAAATTAAAAATTAAAATTAAATTCCGAGCTTTCGCCGATCAACGGCATCATCAGGGATAAAAATATTCCACATGGTAATACACATATGAAAAAATTGGTATAAGCAAAATGCGTGAAAAGTGCAAAAAATATAAACTTGAATAAAACACAAAGATCTAATGAGTGGTTGGCACAGAACAAAGAGTCTCTCGAAAGGAAAAATGATTCATAATGATGGTCTTTAAAACAAACGGTCCACAAATTCATTGCATTTCTCATGGTAGTTTAGGGCTGTCTTCAGTGTCAATGGAGCTGCAGAAGGACTTGCTGGTTGACAAAAATCTCTCCAAAGGCAAAAATAACTTCTAAAAAACAAAAGGTCCTCAAATGCGTTGCACTCCTCACGGGAGGTGAGGACTGGGATAATGTAAATCAAACTGCAAAGAGCACGCTGGTTCTGATAAACTTTTTGAGAATATAACTCTATTCCTTGATTAACTACTGCATAGAATTCAATTTACAAAGGAAAGGATAATACTGAAAACCCTGTTTCTGAGTCAAGAAGCAAACACGCTACCTCAATGGGGTAAATCAAGCTGCGAAGAACGAGCTGGTTTTGAACAAAATTGGAGCGTAAAAGCCTATTCCTTGATAGCTGCTGCTTCAAATGCAATTTATAAAGCAAACCAGAGCACTATTATATAGCCCTTTCAAACTAGAAATCGTATTAAAGCTAGCGCTTGCTCACCTTTTAGGGCCTCTTAAACAGAAAATGAACAGCTGCACACGGGATCACCCAATTTCGAACCAAGAGTTGTAAATACATGATCATGGTGTCACTGCCCAAATACACCCAAATATGGTCAAAAATGCAAATTTTAGAGGGTTACACAGAAGTTGAGGGTTTTTGCCTACATTGCGCTAGGTTATGAATCTACCATGGAGGCAACCTCGCTTCTTTAGCTCAGTTGCCTCGTTGGCAATCAGGCAAGGTTTTATTTTCAGGACACACATCACTTTCTTTTGTTTGAAACCAATATCATACAAAATTTTCCCAAGTAATGCAGTCATGGCACTTTTAAAATCTCTTCTTGTTAAAGCTATCAAAGTTAGAACATACTTCTCTGGTTGGTGCTCATTGCATTTGTGCGAACATCTCTGCCATCCACCTGCATATAGTGTCCAGGGATTGGGCCATCTTGATTTAGCGACACCAGCTGTTGATTATCTCTCGTATAAATCTCCCTGTCTTTGGTATCAACAATTTTTACTCCATCAGCACTCTTTGAACATAGAAAATATTGGACAATGTTAATATGTATTAAAACATGTATTTCCCTCGTTAAGACTTTGTTGAATACATGGAAAATTTCTCCACCCCCTAACTCATGCCCCCTGCGGGTTACCGGGTAGAGACAGCTGCCTTAATCCACTTATGGGGTTCCCCCTGGGGTACCCACAAAGAGCAAGGAGTATTTGTTGACATTTGTCAACTGAATAATGTATTTTACCCACGTACGAGTGTGGTTTAAGGAGATTACTCCCAGGGATCTGGGGGGTTCAATATGCATTGGATTCTTATCAAGAAGACCCTAAGCCTTGTTTTGAACAAGAGGCAGGATGTACACTTGACTGGCCTTGAGCTGAGGAAAACAGTACCCAGTTTTGTTTCCTTGGTATTTTAATGTTTCCCAAGGCATAGCATTGGAAGAGATTGTCACTTGACGTCTTTGTGAGAAAAGAGGCAAGATGCAACAATGAACACTTAATAACCTTAACAATACGCGTCAACACATGATAGAAGCATGCTCTGTGATAATTTACTAGGGACCACAAAATTTCTACCTTTCGGGCTAATTGCATGCCCTTAAGGGATTTTCTAGGATTAGAGTACATCAATTTGCTTCTATTTTATTTTGTAAATCTCTTTTCTATTAAAAACCATTTTGTCAATGCCACTTCTCTTGTCTTCAGTTTATACACGGTAGACTTACATTAAATTTCTGTTTCGAATGAAGCATGTTCGATTGCTATCAAATGAATATAACCTCAATTAACTTAATATATTTTACTATATTTGATACGGTTTTTTAAAGTTCTAAAAAAGGAATCTTTTCGGCATTAAAGACCTTGCCGAAAGCTTATATTCAAGGTAACGAAACATGCCAGTTGGCAGGATCGAAATTTATGCTGAGGTTCGCATTTAAAATTTGCGCAAAATGATTGAGATTTCCTAGAGCTTAAAGTGAATTAATGAAAAAAAGGCCACAAGTTACCTCCATTTTCTTGTCTTGGTCGTTGTCCTGGTTTTGTTCCGTCTGTCTTTGATCTTAAACACTTCAAGTTCAAATTGCTAGATGTCTGGAAACGTGGTCGAGGACCTTTTATACCTCTGCTCAAGGAGTGTCTCGATTTTCCCCGAAACTGTCAAATTACGTCATACAAGTGACCCTCACCCTTTCGCTTCCGATTTATGATTGTTTTTGTTTCGAAAGTAGAGCAATTATTCGCCGTGGGTTTAATCAGTCAACAAAAGTAACAGGGCGAGCCTGCTTTTTTTTTCAAAAAATTTTCCGCTTCCGGTTCATGAAGTGGATGTGACTTTTGCGTGACATTGCCAATTTTGAATCCCTTTCGTCGTGTGACACAATGCAAAGTTTATTTCCAGGTTAGATTCGTGGATACATTATTAATTAAATTTTAAACACCAGCTGGATAGTTTTAAAATAATTTTTGTGCAATAATATTATGCAAACAGTTACTTCCAATTTCCTTCTTTTGCGTTTCTTTCCGCTTTCACTTGAATTGATGTCGTTTGAGATTCCTGTCGTAATAGGGGCGTGCAATTGAGGTTTCGTTTACTTTTTCAGAATCGGAAAGAGCGTTAATTCAATCAAGCACGTTTTATGAGGAAGTTGTTATAAAAAGTATTTTACTCGATTAAAAACGTTGCATATTCGTAAAGTGTTGGGTTATGACATCCGTCGGTTCTTTTCTAGGAAACTGATCCAGGGGAGGTTTTTGGACCAAACTGAGACCCGAAGGGCCGAAAAATATTTTTTTCAGACCGGCCTTCCCCCCCCCCCCCCCC